ACGGTTGGTTAGTATTTTTATGTAGTTGTCAATCAACGGCTAAATTCGGTTAAATGTTAATCATTAACCAAATGTTTTGACGTTTTGAAACTCTGCGTTTTGAAATTAGTTCACGTCAAGTCAGACCAGAAATGGAATAACATAATAAAAGAAGCAAATTAAAAGATACAAGCTGAAAATAACACTCTAAATAGTGTTATTGATAGAGATTCGAACAAGAATATTTAACAAAGAAGATACGTCCGAAGGGGCCGAAGTTATGATCGGCGAAAGGTATGGGCTAGTCTATATTTTTGTTCAGACAATAATTACATGCGTATTAATTTTATAATATACTATCTCGCTTGACTTTCAAAGGCCATAAATCGCAATAATGTTGACATTTTACTAAAACTATCGATAGAAATTAGGAGATATTTCTTCACTGAATCGAACGGTGGGATTTTCATATAGGCCTATCATGTTCTGAACCAAAGATACTTGATAGATATTTATAATATATACGAACCTCCAAAGTATAAACAAGGGGCCGGTTGATGCAGTAATTATCAAATAACAGTTAAACTCTTATATACCCGTTGAATATGTATAGTTGTAAACAAATAAAAACTATCGTTCTATAAGGGTTCAATACTTTCAGTTTGGTTGTTGACTGATGATGAATCTATAGTATAGACTTGCATGCTTTGTATTTTGAGCTTATTAAACCACCGTTTTAAGGCAGCTAAACGGGCTTGTTTTATATTAACACATAAAATAAATTCCTTGATTCTCATCACTAGACACAGTCTACACTTTGAAATGTCGAAGACAGTGGGAGATTTATTTTTTATATTTTATATTTATATAATTTATATATCAATAGTTCGTATCTCCTCGAACAATGACAGAATGACTGAGTTTCTTTAAAATACAATGAAATTTCACTCAAAATTCTGTTTGTTTCAAATTGGAAGTTTAAAATGGCAATAAAACCTCTATATAAAATATGAAAAAATTAACTGTCTTGAATTATTTTGTCGGGCGGTACATTTATATTGTATAACGAAAAATAAAACGTTTTCACGAGGATTTTAAAATTCAGTCGGGCGGTGATGACAATCAAGGAATTTATTTTATATTTTTATGTTGGGCAGTTGGGACTTGGGAGCAGCTTGGGAGTGGCTAATTTTGAATATTTACTTAATTAATTTATCTATAAATAGCGTTGATGCTTCAGGGGTGGTAGTTCATTTACACCCAGTTTTGCGGCAGGCGGTATTTCCTACGTACCGCCTGCCATGCAGGCTAATTATATTGTTATTTATTACCTCGAACATGTCTGTCAAATGTGTTTAAATATATTCTGTCAAATACTTTGAATTACATTCCCCACATGAGAACCTTAATGTGAGATATAATATTATATTTTTATATTTACCTACATAGTTGGTCACAGTATATGTAAGTAATAATAAACTAGAAATACATGCATACAATAACCCCTCGCCTGTTTTCAAAAGATGTATACTCAGTGCTGTTGCGAGCACTTCGTCTCAGGGGGTGTGTACACCATCTTACAACTATTTGACAACCATCTGACACACTTCGACCATCATACACAATCTTCATCTGACAACCCTTCCCTGTATAATCACCCTACATCATCATACACCATCTGAGAACCATCCGACACACTTTGCATGACCATCATACACCATCATACACCATCTGACAACCCTTCCCTGTACAACCACCTTACACCATCATACACCATCTGACACACTTCTACCATCATACACCATCTTCACCATCAGACATCAGATATGGATGCCTGTATTGCATGGACATTACTCGTATCTAAGAATCATTGAGTTTGAATAGTATAAACTTCATCTTACCCTAATTATTTATAATTCAGCGCATGCACAAATAAATTCTTTCAAGCGTGCATGCTTTACATGCTTGAACCTGACATTTTTGGATGGTTATTTTAAAATTGTTTACTATTCTGCTGTATTTTGTATCCAGTTCACCAGTTATATAATATTTTGTTTTTGTTAGGGATGTTATGTTTGTCTTTTTGCCCCGGGGGTGGGGGGCTAGCTGTAACATGATTTTTGTCATTAAACTTTCCCCTGTACCCAGGGGCTTTGTTAATGTTTTGTTCCATCCTCTTAACAAAAGTCCCTGGGTGGTTCAGGGGTCGACCCCTGGGGAAGCCGATGATAAGTGCATTAGCCCCGGTGGGGCTTTTGAAATTAAGGATTTGGAGGTTTTGTGATCACTGATAACTTGATAATAATTTAAACCAGTCAAGTTGTAGTTTCAATGTCTGAGAATAATACATGGGTGCGCGGAAATACCAGCTTTATTAATTCGAGTGTTGAACATGATATCTCACCACGAGTGAGCGCAGTGAACGAGTGAGATGTCATGTTCAACACAAAAAATAAATCTGGTATTTCCAACCACCCATGTATTTTTCTGTTTATTATATAAAGGACAGTCTTTGAAAAGTGATAATTTTTACAGAAAAGCGATAATTGAAAAG